GGGTGGGAGGCGGCCGACATTTGGGGGCGGGGGGCGGGAGGCGGCCAACATTTGGGGGCGGGAGGCGGGAGGCGGCCAACATTTGGGGGCGGCCAACATTTGGGGAAGAAGGCCTGCAATGATGAGTCCACAAATTTAAATTTAAAAATTTTTTAAATACAAAATAAAAAATTGTGGGATCAGTAATGATAAAGTCTTTTTTAATTTAATAACTGCAAACTAAAAATAAAAAAATGTGAATTTATATTGGAAATTGTGAATTGGTGACATGCTCGATTTTCTTGGACAGAACCGGTCCGACCTGGCCGAAGTCTACTGAATCCTAATATATTGAGATATCTGGATTGCCATCAACAATTCTCAATCTAGATCGAGAGATTTCGATTTGGATAGTCGAATTTTCAATTGGAAACCTAGATTGTTTTCTTCTCCGAGGAGAATATGCACAACATGAGGTCCGAGGTTCAACAGCTCGGACAATGTTGTGTTTATGTATTTTTTTTTGTGAAAGTTAGTTGTACAAGGTTTAAAACCTCGGACCACTTCTCCCAAAAATATATGGAAAACTAAGTGATTCGAGATTTGATAGCTTGATACACATTATGTTAGTTTTTTTTTCTTTTGTGAAAGTTAGGTTTCCATGGTTTGGAACCTCGGATTGCTTGTTCTCACTTAAATATGGGCAGAACATTTTGGGTGAGGTCTTTCTTTCAGAATTGTAAGTTCAGCAGCTCAGACAGCTTTCTGTTTAAATTTTTTTTGAGAAAGTTACCTGTCTTTTGCATATATTGTTTTTTTTCCTTTTTTTTTTTTTTTTTTGCTGATTATGAAATGGTTAGGGCTAAAAGCCCAATCTATTTCAATTTTTCTCACAAGGAAAACCCACGCTCTTGCCCCAGTCCTATCTTTCTCCTTTGTCACTTTGCCCTACCCGGAACTCCTTGTGTTACAAAATCTACAAGCTCTCTATAACAGGTTCCTCTTTTTCATCATTTCGTTGGGTCTTTTTTATGGATTACTTGACTGTAGAGGGATTTGTGGGTTATGATGTGTTTTTTCTTTTTGTATTACTTTTTTGTGGCTTATTATGTATTTTTATTTCTATTTATAGAATGCTTGTCTATTTGAAAATTTATTTTATTTATTTTAAGTTGAAAATTGATTAATATTGCACGAGTCTAAACTATAGGGTTCTTATTCGTATATGTGTATATGTATGTGTGTTTTTTTTTCCCTCTTTTTGACGATGTGGTTCGATGATTTCACACTTATCTTGTTATGATTTACGCCATGGACACTGATGTGGCTAATTTCAATTCAGGATTTTCATGGCATTGGGTTTAGTGTTGGGATTCATTCATATTTTTAAGTAATTATCCGTGGCTCACTCGATTCTAGAGGGAGATCTATGTTGTGCACAGTTGGTAATTGTTTCTTATTTTTGAGCCATTATTATTTCATATTTTGCATTCCACTAAGATAAGATTGATACAATTAAATGCCCCAACTTCCAAATTGAATTTACCTATTTTCAATAATTAAGAAATTGGGTAATGATCATTTATTTTCTCCAATTGAGAAATTTGGTGTTTCTCATTTCATGAAGTGTTTATTTGTTTTTAAAGTATAATATTCATGTTTTTATGACATGGGTTGCGTTTATTTTTGTGCAATAATTGTAAAGACTATTCATTTTGGTTATACTTTGATTTCAATTTTAAACGGTCACTATTTTAGAAGGCACTCGTTTGAGTAATAACAATGGCTACTAGTTGGGTGGGGTTGCTTCATCTTTATGGTGGTTCTTTCGAGCAAAGTAAAAACGCTGGGAGAAATTAGTAGAAAGGTGGGAATTTGAAAACCAGAGCATATAATGGAAGCAACTCATTAGAGTAACCCAAAACACAGATGGGACTGCCGCATCTTGTGACCAAGCAATATGACCATTAAATCTCAAGAAAATGATGATTTCGTGGAATTAAATTATGCTAGTGATGAGACATGTATGCCATGATGGCTTCCGATGTACATGTATGTATGTATGTGTTGCAAACCGGCTTCCGATGTACATGTATGTATGTGTTGCAAACCAACCTTCTGAACCATCATCCAAAATGAAGCACATGTATGCTAGCCAGACTTCGATATTGAGATAGAGATTGAACGTGAGCTTGATGACCAGTATCTATTGGAAAGTCCATGCAGTTCAATCCACTCGCAAGTTCATCTACATGTTGGACAAAGATTTCGAATGTCAAGGTACTCCATGACTTGGTAGATTATGGAACATACCGAACTTTTGTCATCAAATACCTAAAAAATATCAAGAGCGTGTTGTTGCATTCTGCGCATAGCAAGTGCACTACTTTAGAGTTACTCCCATAAAGTATTCTAGGGTTTTAGAGTTCATAAATGACCACACATGTACAAGACCAATGAGAAGGGGTCATCAGCCATTAGCACGAAGCAAATGGGTTGCTAGAAAAATCAAAGCCCATTCGACTAACCAAATAGCCCGAAGATATTGCAAATAATGTCTTCCGTGAACAGGGTGTGTCATTTTCATACATGCAAGCGTAACAGGGGAAGTAGTTGTGATGGAAACAATATAGGGGTCACATAAGTAGTCATCTATAGAGTTATACCCCTACACATTGTTAGGAGTCACCAACCCCCGAACTGTAGGGTATATATGGACAAATTCTCTCTACGTATTTGAGCATTTGTTTCTATGCTTTTGTCCACAGCTCTATGGATTTCTATATGGTTGTAGGCCTCTTATAGTCTTGGATGGGACATTTCCTTAGGGGAACATAGAAGGGATCCTATTGTGCTTTGTTAGAGTAAATGCTGATGGTGCCATGTTCCCGATTGAGATTGTCATTGCGGAGAAAGAGGGCACCAATAGATGGGTGTGGTTCTTACATATTTGTGAGTTGTTAGATGAATGGTAAGACTTGCCTCACCTTGAAAAATTATTTCAAACTATAAGAAAGGTTGCTTGGGCAGCAGGAAGGAAGTATGAGATCCTTGAAGATAGGAGGTATATTAAAGATTTGGATTGGTGGACATGCCCCTGCTTGGTGTGGAAAACCAGTGGTTTGCCCTGCAATCAAGCAATTGTCTCTATAAACCACTGGCACCTTCCAATAATGGCATTTTGCCTGCTTATTTCTATATTCTAATTTGTAAGATAGTATATTCAACTAACTTCCATTTTGTGCCAAACAATGTTCTTTTCTCTGGAGTTCATAGTAGGGTGGTACCCCCCTCAAAGACAATGCGACTCCCTAGTAGACCAAGAAGCAGTAGAAACAGACGAAAGAGAAATACATCAACGCTTACTTCTACAAGCATTGTGGTGCCGAGGGCTAGAATAAGAGGATATGTAGAGAACCAATTGATGAACCTAGGCCAGATACATATGAAAAAGAGAGCGACTGTCTTTATACTTCGGACAAAGCAAGTGAGTCTGAGGAATTTGCCCATAGCACTTTAGACCAAGAATAACACTCATGTTTGTAATTTATTTGTGTGTATTGACAAATGATCTTTTTGTTATTTATATTCGAATGCATATAGGTTTCTCTGAAGAGAGTATCCTTTAATAATATAAATATACAAGCTTGCCTTATATAAACAAATACAGACAATAAGACTAGAAATAAATCTTAGATATCTATACTATACCCAAGCTTATCATAAAATATAAAATATTTGATCTATTATTCTCATATATATTGATTACAATATACACCTTCCATATTAACCTGATAGACAATATATACTTTCTTTTCACACTCCCCCTCAAACAGAAGATGCTATGAGACAAAGCAGTTAGAGTTTGAACACTAAGTTGCGGAAACTAGCAGGTGGAATTTCAT